TAAAAGTAAGGGGAAAAGAAATTAAGATAGGAAAAAATAAACAACGGGGAATAGGGAAAGCAAAAACAAATAGTAAGCAGTTTTTAAATGGACTAATGACTTGAATAAATAGCAATATTAAAAAGGATAATCAAACGACAATAATAATAAAGTGATAGAATTAAAGAATCAAGCAGTTAAGGAATGAGAAAAATAAAGAGAATAGTGAAAGTAAAAATAAGTATAAAGTAATTTTTAAATGGACGAATGAATTAAATAAAATGCAAGATTAAAAATGAAAGAGAAGACAATAATGAAGGGAAATGAAAAAAAAAAATATCAAGCTATTAAGGGGAAAAAGAAAATTAAATTGCAAGTTAAACAATTCCCCGGCAACGGCGCCAAAAATTGTTGGACAATTTTAATGTAATGTCCTCGCAAGTGCACGAGTCAGTGTAGTGGTAGTGTGCAAAGGCAAGGGTCGAACCCACAGGGAATTGATACTACGCAATTTAATAAGTTGAAAGAGTGGAAATAGAAAATAAAGTTGAATTGCAGTGAAATTAAGTGAAATTAAATCGAATGAGAACAACTTAGGAAAATATACTAATCAACAGTAGAACATAGAATTGACAATCAACATGGATTAATTAAATTACTAGTAGAAAATGACAACATGAAAAATAATTGAATAATCTCAAAATGAAATAGCAAGAGATCAAATAAATTCAAGAAACATAAATCTGATGGACAATTTAATAACTTAAAAATAACTAATTAAACAATTTGAAGGTTCAAAGCTAATTAAGAATCAAATGCAAAATAATTGAAATTCAGGAAGCTAAACGAACAAACAACTGAATCAAAACTTAAAGACGGTGAACAAGTAAATTACCCCGAACCAGAATATTAACTAAACAATCAAATTAAAAAAGTTTGAAAATGCATTCTAAAGTCAATAATTAAAATCATAATTAAAATCAATATTAAAATCAAACTAGATATTTGGGCATTGAAGTATTAAAAAAGTGAATTAAAGAATTTAAACAGCAATACAAATTGAAGAGAAAGAAATCAAAACCAGGAAACTAAGGGGTCGTTTACTTCATTTCTCTGTTTTTCCATCTCCTGTTTTCCATTTCTCCATTTTTCCAGTTTTTCATCTCCATTTCTCCAATTTTTCATTTCTCCAATTTTCTAATTTTCATTCCATATTCCTCTCGTTTTTCATTTCTCTAATTTTTTGATTTCATTAAATACAATGCCATATATCATTTGTACATTTCTATAATAATAACAATAATAATAATAATAATAATAATAATAATAATAACAACAACAACAATTAAAATAATAATAATAATAATAATAATAATAATAATAATAATAAATATGTGTGCATAAAGAGGAGCCAAAAAAAGAAAAAGATAATAATAATAATAATAATAATAATAATAATAATAATAATAATAATAATAATAATAATAAAATCTGTAGGGAGGAGGAAAAAGGAAAAAGAAAAAGCAAATAATAATAATAATAATAATAATAATAATAATAATAATAATAATAATAATAATAATAATAATAATAATAATAATAATAATAATAGTAGTAAAAGTAAAAGTAAAAATAAAAACAAATCTGTAGGGAGGAGGAAAAAAGAAAAAAAAAAGAAAAACAAATAATAATAATAATAATAATAATAATAATAATAATAATAATAATAATAATAATAATAATAATAATAATAATAATAATAATAATAATAATAAAACAAATCTGTAGGGAGGAGGAAAAAAGAAAGAAAAAACAAATAATAAGAAGAAGAAGAAGAAGAAAAGCGTAAAGGAGAATAACAAAGAAAATGAAAAAGACTTCTAAAGTGTGCACAACAGGATTCAAACAATGGACCTCGCCCATTATGTACTATTCACCCGAAATTTTTCCACTCCTCCATTCAGAGAAGTCCAAATCTTCTTTCTCCAAAATTTTACATGAGGTTGGAAAATGGAGAAGGAGAAAGCATTTGGAATAAGAAACTTAGTAAATATCTTCTCCAATTTTTATTTTTTCCACTCTCATTTTCTCCATTTTTTTGGAAAATCCTCCATTTTTCCAAGTTAGTAAACGACCCCTAAAGCTTGCTACTGCCCACGTTGAAATCAAAGATGCCGAAAGACATTGATGAGCTTAGCCGTCGAAAGATCGCAGAAGCCGATCAAGACTTGTTGTCACCCAAAAAGAAAGAATAATTAACAAGAAATCTGCCGACGATCCGAATTCTCAAACACCGCCATAGAATTGGTCCGGGGCAAAACTGATGATGATGAACGACCTTCTAATGAATTCTATTTATAGCGCTTCAACCCCAATTGCTCCTCCGGTTATGCAATTGCAACTCATGCTGTCGATTTCGTAGAGGAACGAGGACCGAGGAACGCCATTGAAGACCAATTCTGGTTCGCTGAGCTTAACGCCTTTCTCTCGTTCGGTTGTTTTGACTTTTGACTGTCTCCTGCTGAATTGCCGCAACCAGCTTCGACCCAATAATAACTTTTCACTTAAAATAAAACACATTTAAAACCTTAAATAAATTAGAGACCAATTATAATTAGTCTATGTTTACTAAAACTCCTATTATACTACTAAGACTATTATTATTAATATTAAATTAGAACCAAGGAATTATTAGACTGATAAAATTCAAATAATAAAATAAAATTAATAAAAACAACTTAAAAATGAATAATATTAACAAAGATACTTAATCAAAATAATAAATAATATAGATATAAAATTAATCAATTATTGAAAATTAACTATAAAAATATTATTAAAAATAACACTAAAAATAATGTTTATCACATCCCATCGATGGTTTTTGATGATTTTGACCCGCCTTGAACTCTTATACTTTGTGTGGGCCTGCGTGCCTGTATTTTGGCCTGCGAGCCGCCTCTTTACGTTCCTTATTTATCTTTCATGTACTATTACTTCATGTTGGAAATGAAAAGGAAAATGAAAAAGAGATGAAAAAAGAAAGAGAAAGGGAAAAAAATAAAATGAAAAGAAAAAAGAAAAGGGATAAGAGAAAACGAGAAAAGAAAGAAAAGAAATGAGGGAAAGAATATGAGAGAAGGAATGAGTGGTAAAATGAGGGAATAGAGAAAGGAAGAGATAGAGTGATGTGAGCTAAAAACAGAGAGTGTGTGAGGTGTTCTTGGAGGCTATGAAGTCTTGCTTGTCGGGACCGAGTCTCAACGTAAGGTGTTGGCGGTACAACATGGCACCCTAGTCCGGGCTGAACGGTGCACCGGGCAGGACTAGTCAAATCCGTTGACCTGGTCAGGCTTGCTGCTGGCCAATAGTAGAAGAGTTCCTTTTGGACTCCGGGGGGGGAGGGCTGCTTTTACTTGGGTTTGGGGTTGTTCGCGTCAGCCTGTTAATACCTATACACTCATCTTGATATAACTGATGTTTGGATAGCTGGGGTCAAGGGAGCGAGATTTTTGTTTGTTCTATCTTGTTCCTATCTTTGTAGGTTTCTTTCTTTGGCCTCCGAGGCATTGACTGGTCTATAGGCTTCCTTTGGTTCCGCCTTTGCAGACATCTTTTAAGATAGACCAGGCCTCAACGTTGGTGCAAGCAGTAAGAAATTGCATCCTGGCCTGGGCTGAACGGTGGCCGGGTAGGGGTTTTTCAAATCCGTTGGCGGTAGTCCAGGCTTACTGCTGGCCCATAGTAGCTAATCCCGTTAGGGTTGGTTCTGGTTCGTTGCTGGTGCTGATCGGGGTTGATGCTATTGGCTGCTCTGTTTTTCTTTTATATCGGTCTGTGTGCCGAAGTTTTGGCCTGTGAGATGCCTTGTACTACTTATGTTATTTCTGGACTTAGGCCTGTGTGCCGATATTTGCCTTTATATTTAGATGGGGAGGTGTGTATTATTGCTTTGTAACAGGGCAGTCAATAGCACCCCCGGAGATGTTGCAGTTGTGGTTGCAGCCCGGTCAGATTGCATTATAGTGCTGGGACGCTATGGTGCAGCTGGCGGGGAAGTGCTATGGCGCGTGACACGCAAGGTGGCTTTCCCCCTTGTCACCTATCTACACGCTTATATGATGGGCTGTGATGCTGACATACTATACTTGATTCTCATTCATCGAGCAGGCATGCAGTCTACATACTACATACTACTTGGTAGCATTCTTTTATTATTTATTATTACTTAGCCTAGTATTTGGTCTAGTGTTAGTGTTATGCTAGCATGGGACTTGGGGCCGCGCATGTTATATCCCCGAGGGCCTTTGTCTGTTATCTTTATTTACTTTTTTTAGTTTAGATTAGTGAGTAGGATTTAGGCCATGTGGGGTCTAAGTCCTTTCAAACTTTGTATTGGCTTCGGCCTCTCTTTTACTATTAATGAAGTATGACTTAAAAAAAAAAAAAAAAAAAAAAAAAAAAAAAAAAAAAAAAAAAAACTCCCAGAATGCAATTGAAGAAGAATATTGGCAGCAAAAGGCGCGCGTCACCGAGGTTCAGGATGGGGATAGAAACTCCCAGTTTTTTCATTCTATTATGAAGGAACGAATGCGCAAGTTGTATATTATATTCATAGAGTTAAAAATGATGAGGGTGATTGGCTAGAAGACAGGCAAGGGATTGCTCACTAGGCAGTTTCTTTCTTTGAGCACATGTTCACTGCAGAGGTCGGAGGGTTTGATTTGGCTAGGCTGGAATGTGTCCCACGACTGGTCACAGAAGAAGATAATGATTTGTTAACAGCGGTGCCGGAGGTGGATGAAGTGAGGGCAGTAGTAATGCAGATGAACTCTATTAGTGCGGCGGGACCGGATGGTTTCTCGGGGGCCTTTTATAAGGCTTGTTGGGACATTATTCAGGAAGACGTAGTTAGTATGGTTCGGAGTTACTTTGCAGGACCGGATTTTACCATGGCTATCACTCACACATCTATTGTTCTGCTGCCGAAAAAGCCGAGTACATAGACCTTTGCAGACTACATGCCGATTAGTCTTTGTAACTTTAGTAGTAAGGTGGTCATGAAGCTCATGGTGGTTCGGATGCCCACGGTCCTACCCCGTGTGCTGTCTCCACAACAGAGTGGGTTTGTTGCTGGCCAATCCATCACGGATAATGTTCTTTTGGCGTCTGAGATTTGTCATGGATTAAGCCTGCAGAGTCGGGACATTGTGCTTAAGCTGGATATGGCTAAGGCATATGACCGGGTTTCCTGGTTTTTTTCTGACCTCGGTGATGCGCCGTCTGGGGTTTAGCGAGGTATGGATTGATATGGTCTTTCGGGCCGTGTCTAATGTCTAGTACTCGGTGATAGTAAATGGCATCAAGGAAGGTTTTTTCACATCTACGAGGGGGCTCAGGCAGGGGGACCCTTTATCCCCGACTCTGTTTGTTATTGCAGCTGAAGTACTGTCGGTTTATCTTGCCCATGTTTATGACGGCACCACTGTGCCTCAGTTCACTCAGCCGCCGGGGACACCACACATACATCATTTGGCCTATGCAGATGACGTCATTATCTTTAGCACGACCAGGTTGGGGGCAGTTGGTAAGCTTTCAGAAGAGTGCGTTTTACATGCACCCTCGTACTCCCATTCGGGTAGTTGACAGAGTTCGCAGGGCAATAGGATGTGTGCATAAGGAATTTCCATTTACTTATCTTGGTTTCCCTGTGTATATTAGCCGCAAGAAGTGCATCTATTTTACTTCTATTGTTGATAAGGTTAAGGCAAAGTGTTTGAGCTGGCAGCGGCGAGTCCTTTCCAAACGGGGGAAGGCTATCTTGGTATTGTCAGTATTGCAGGCTATTCCACTTCACATGTTCTCGGCCTGTGCGCCGCCCAAGCAAGTAATCTGGGACTTGGAGCGATGTTTTGCCAGTTTCTTTTGGAAGCAGACAGGAGGTGCTCGGTATCATTGGAGCTCGTGGAAAACTCTGTCCCTTCCTAAAAAGGAGGGGGAGTTGGGTTCTTGGATTCGGATCTGATGGTTAGGGCAACCAGCGCAAAGTTATGGTGGAATTTCCGTACGGAGCATACACTTTGGTCAGATTTTATGAGGGCCAAGTATTGCAGTCGGGTACACTCGGTTGCTAAGTTAGTCCAGACTACTGATTCGCACACCTGTAAGCGGATGCTGGCGGTGAGTGATGAGGTCGAGGGAGTCCTGACTTGGCGGTTGTTCCAAGGCCGGGTTAATTTCTGGTGGGACAATTGGTCAGGTCTGGGCCCGCTTGGCAGACTTTTTCCTTCTCGGGGGATGTCCAACTCTCGGGAATTGTTGCAGGATTATGTGCGAGACGGTGTGCTTGATTCGACTGGCCATGATGACTTGGCTTATGCGGGGGTTACTGCGGACTTTTCCCGTTTGGGGCAGGGACCGCGGGATATCACACTATGGACTACGGCATCTGATGGTATGTTTTCTTACTCGTTTGATAAAGCCTATCTTAGGCCTGTTCTGCCCATTGCACCGGATCCTCTTTTAGCTAAGTGTTGGCGTAAACACCTTCCCTTTAAGGTGTCCTTCCTGGCTTGGAGAGTGTTTCGAGGGCAGCTTCCCACGGATGACATCCTATCTCGTTTCGGTCATGTGATCGTTTCGAGGTGTTGGTGTTGTCCAGCCCCGGTTCCTGAATCTATTGCACATATTTTTATTATGGAGAAACAGCAAGAGCTGTCTGGAGCTATGTTTTGGCGTCTCTTGGCCTTCAGTCACGACACAGAAGTCTTAGGACATTAGTCGCGGGATGGGGTCGGGGAGGGACGCGTAATCCTTTGTTTTCTTTTGCTGTGAACAGGTTGCCATACTTGGTGTTGTGGGATCTTTGGAAACACCGTAATGGGTGTATGCATGGGCGAGATACCCCGAGTGTTGCGCGAGTGATGCATGGGGTTGTAAAGGGGGTGGCGGAGTGTCTGTTTAGGCGGTGGCCTATGCAGCATATCCTTCCCCCTAATTGGAGGACGGTGGTGGCATACCTGGAGGCGCATGTGCCGAGACGGGTGGTTAGGACTGTTAGGTGGTCTCCCCCCGCTGCTGGAGCTTTAAAGATCAATATATCTCTTTCATCGGCAGTTGGGGGCCGCAACCTTGGTGTGCAACCCGGAGGGTGGATTTTGCTATGGGGTTGCGTGGTCTGGGCAAGGGGAGCTGGGGAGCATGCCCGAGGTTTGTTCTGGGTATTGTTCTCGTGTCTGGAATGGTGCCTGGCTGGAGGATATACAGAGATTGTGGTAGAGTCCACGTTGGCGGAGCTGGTAAGCTATCTTGATATTTCTGTTCGCCCGCCTTGGGTCTTGGATGACTTAGTGTCCAGGCTCCGGTTCTTATGCTCTTGCGTGGTAGTTTTTGCTGTTTTGTGCCCGTCTACGGCTAATCTACCTGTGCAGGCGTTAGTAGATTGGGTCGTGGATAAGCTGGGGGAGGCCATCTTTTATTGCTTTAGTGATCTGCCGCCTAGGGTGCGTGCTCTCTTAGTGCATGATGACGTGCCCTATGTGTTTTTTGAGGAGGAAGACCCCCCATGACTTGATTATGCTTGTACCTATTTTGCTTTACTTGTTTTTTTTTGATATGAGAAGAAAAGAAAAGAAAAAACGAATGAGAAAAGGAAGAAACGAAAGAAAAAAGAGAAAAAATAAAAAAGAAAAAAGAAGAAAAAAGAAAAGAAAAAACGAATAAGAATGGAGAGGAAAAGAAAAAGAGATGTAAATGAAGAAATAAAAAAGAAAGAGAAAAGAAAAAAAGGAATGAGAAAAGAAAAAAGGGAAAAAGGAAAAAGGAAATAGAGCGAAAAAACAATGTTGCAAAAAACGTTAGGCGCTCCTTAGGCGTTGATTTTTTATTTTTTATTTTTATTTTTTTTATTTATTTTTATTTTTTTTAATTAAAAAAAAAATAAAATAAAAAATTTTCAAAATTAAGTACTAAAACATAAGGTTTCCATAGTTATTTCTTAGAAACTATTTACAAAAGTGGTTGCAAAATTGTTCAAAAGATTGTTTAAACCATCTAAATACATAAAAAACTAAAATTAAGAGCTAAAGAAGCATTTTTTTGAGAAATTAGTGGACAAAACCGCCTTTGAAAAAAAAACGCGATTTGAAAAAAAATTGTCCAAATCGGACAAACGAGTCAAAAGTTATGCCTTCCGAAACTTTTCTGACATTTTCAAAAAAATAAAATAAAATAAAAAATCGCCGAACCACTGAACCGGCCGGCCGCGGAGGCCATTCCTCGCGGCCGCCTCCTAGCGCCTAGCGCCTAGGAGCCGATTAATCGGCGCCTAGGCGCGATTTTTGCAACACTGGGAAAAAAGAGAAGTAAAAGCGAGGTGAAAGAATAGAGAGTGGAAGTGGATACTTGGAGGTCAGGAAGTCTTGCTTGTCGGGACGGAGCCTCAACGTAGGTGTCGGCGGAACAACAGGCACCCCTAGCTCGGGCTGAACGGTGGCCGGGCAGGACTAGTCAAATCCGTTGACCTGGTTAGGCTTGCTGCTGGCCAATAGTAGCAGAGTCCCTTCTGGGCTCCGGGGGAGACGGGCTATTATTAACGGGGGTTCTACAGTTTGTTCGTGTCAGCCTGTTAATATCCCTTATACACTTGCCTTTATATATACTTGATAATGAGCACTTAGGGTCAAGGGAACATAATGGTTGGTTGTTCGGTCATGTTTCAGCTTTTGCAGGTTGTTTCTTTGGCCTCGGAGGTGTTGATTGGTCTATAGGCTTCTTTGGTTTCGCCATTGCGGGCTTCTTTGAAATAGAACAGCCTCAACGTTGGTGCAAGCGGTAAGAAATTGCATCCTGGCCTGGGCTGAACGGTGGCCGGGTAAGGGTTTTTCAAATCCGTTGGCGATAGTTGTTTTGTTTTTTACTTAGGGACTTGCGCAGCAGTAAAGGAAAAAGAGGGAATTAGGTTAAAGGGGGGTTTGTTTCTTTCATGGCAATAGAAGTAAAAAAGGGAAAAACAACCCTTTTAAATGGTTTTCAACTTTGGGGACGGTAGAGAACAGAGACGAAACAGAACAGGAAGAAAAGAGAGGTGATTACGAGAGCTTGGGAGCGTAGCGGCGACTTCGGCGAGAAGATTCTATAGCAAGGAACTTTCGAGCTTCAATCACAGCTATCACCAGGCTTGCTGCTGGCCCATAGTAGCTAATCCCGTTAGGGTTCTGGTTTCTGTTTGTTGCTGGTGCCATTCGGAGGTTTGTTGCTATTGGCTACTCTGTACTTCATGTTTTAGCCTGCGTGCCTATGTTTGGCCTGAGAGCCGTCTTCTTTGATTTATATTCATGTCGTTTTAGCTTTGGGATTTTCAGTTTGTATTTATTTCGACTGTAATTCTGGCCGGTGGCATGTGCATTGTTGTCTTGCTTGTGTTCTTACTTGGAATGTAGCAGGGCAGTCAATAGCGTTCGAGGAGATGTTGCGGCAGTGTCAACAGCTCTGTCTTGTTGCATTGTGGTGTTGAGATGCCACGGTGCAACTTTGCAGGGAGGTGGCATTGTGGCGTGACATATTTATGGCGAGGTGGTTGTTCCCCTTGTCACCAGCAAGTGTCGGGCGATAGCTTTTCAGGAAATAGGCCTGAGCCGGTATAGTTGGGTTGTGAGAGCTGTCGGATACTACATTGACATGATTGTGGTGTTGACCGTGACACCTACTGTTGAGCTGGTCTGTAGCCCCTTTACTTTTGTTAGCCATAGTTGCTGTTTTCGTTTTTAGCCTAGTGTGGTCTAGTGCTGGTTATGTGCTGGCATGGGCCAGGGCCGATTGGTTTTTAGCCTTGAGGTCTTCTATTAGTAATCTTTATTTAGTTTCCTTTTCTGTTTTTTTAGACTTAGTGGGGTTTAGGCCATGTGGGGCCTAACTCCTTTGAACTTTGTATGGCTTTTTGCCTTCTTTCATTTAATAAAGTACATATTACACTAAAAAAAAACAAAAAAAAAAACAAAAAAAAAAAAACCCTAAACCTTAAAGAAGGGGGCTGGAAAAAACGAAGCCTCAGGCTTCTATTTAGACTTCTATTTAGAAGCCTGAGGCTTAACGAAAGCGTTTTGGGCATTTGTGGGTTCGTTAACGAAAGTGTTTTGGGCATTTGCGACGCAAGAGGTTGGACGCTGCCGGATAATGGAAGAGGTAAAACAGGCCAGGGACGTTTGGATAACTAGCATAAGAAAAAAGGAGGAGCTAATAGCTAAGTTATTAGCTGAAAAAAAAAAAAAAAAGATATCAAGAAAGTAACCAGTGACACACATTGCATCGTTGGCGACGCTCAGAGGTCTCTTGAGCATATCACTGCAAGTTTGGAAAAGCTCCAAACACAGTGGAATGAGGTCCTCAAAAAGATTCAAGATGAACGTCAAATACAGCATGCTGTATTTGACCAACATCCCGATTTTGAACGTGTACCTACAGCTGCTGAAATTACGTGTCAGCTGTTGCTTTTTAGAAATGAGTTTGATAAAAAGGATAAGTATTGTGAAGACCTCCTCGCTGAGGTGGTAGTGCTGAAGGGCGAGGTTGAGGGCCTGTTTGCATCCCTAGCTGTTTTAAAAGATTCTACATATGAGGTATTGGTGAAACTCACCACCATCCAGTAGCCCTCCAGTTGCAATGCAAGGGATTCGGGACCCTCCAACGCAAGGGACCCTCAAGGGACTGAGCCCCTCCAGCAGCAACGCCCTCAAGGGACTGATAAAATCATACATCCATATAAATAATCAATAATGTATACATTGCTGAGCTCTTTGGGTTGTGGAAACAAATTTCATTTCAGTAAAAGTCATCAGCCATTCTTGAAAAAAAAAAAAAAAAAAAAAAAAAAAAAAACCTAAAGAAGGATAAACAACAGCCGATTGAGCTGCTGTGGATTGATCTGGAAAATTGGCTAGAAAAACAACAAAAAAGAAAGAAAGAGAAGCAGATTGATATAGAGGTGAATCTGGAAAAGCAAGTTGCAGTCTAGTTTGAAGCTTTTAA